CACTAATGTCCATCAACAGTTAAGTAAAAACTCTTAGGCACTTTCATGAACTCTGTTTAATAGTCAGGTGTCAATACCATACCATGTCTCTTGAAAGTGTGAAACCCTCTCTTGCTGTCCTACTTATCTATATTGCCAAATGATAGTAGTATTCTGTGATATTCATCAATAAGCTTAAGTCACTGTTGTTTTAGATTTTAATACTAAAATGTTTTAATCCTTTGAAAATTTCATTGTTCTTGCTATATTTTGGATGTCTAGACAGCATTTTTCAATATGCATCTAAATGCTTAAATGGTCTGCAACTTAAGCATCACAAAAGGCCACTGTTCCTAGTATACATGATCCACATAGACAATTCATGCCTGACAAGCAAACACATTTGATTTTCAAATCTTTCCAAAAGAAATTAATATCCTGGATAATATTCGTTTGGGCCAAGTTTATAACATCAGAATTGTTTAACATCCATCTTTCTCCTTTTGTTACATGTTCCCCACAAAATTCTGCCTTTCTTCCATATATCAAAAGTCTCTGCTCCTATCAGTATGTATTAATCTCCCATCTTGAAGGAATTGAAACACTGTATAGCTATCAGGGGTGGTCAAGGCCTCAAACCGATTAGACACTCTTTGAATCAGGTCTTGAGTCTCTGATCTGAGGTTCAGTATAACAATAGCAACAAGAGGTTCAGTAGCTCAAAAAGTTATATTTTTGAGGGTCTGGTTAATCCTGAATTTGCATGCCAAAAGCATTGATTCTGACTACATCTGTGGAACAATATTCCACCCGACACTACATGCTTGTTGGCTATTGTAAAAAATAGGAATGGATTAATTGAAGAAGGCATGCTCATACCAGATGTATGTCTAGTAACAGGCATTCAAACTGATTGAAGATTCATGCTAAACAACTTAAATAACAGGGGGAGAACTAAGGCACACACAATTATGCCTTTAGCACAACTGTTTGTTTCCCTGCTCTGCTCATGTTTTGTTAACATTTTAAACAGGTGTACAATTCTATATTTTGAGCCAAGTATAGTGATGATAGGATTGGTAGTCATAAGAAAGATTTATGTGTGAAAGAGGCCACAGGCAGTTTCATTATCCATACGTGTTACTCTCAATCTACAAATCCTTGCTTGGGATGTATAAAGTGGTGCATAAACAATGCTTAATGTAACACTTAAAAATGTATTAATTTATTCAATCAAACAGGAACACTTACACCAGAACTGAATTCATATTGCTTAAAAATCACTTAATGCGGTTTCTTGCTACGATCAAACTGCCTACAAGATGTCTCGGTAGCAGGAACAGCCTACTTTATGACTGCTTGATCCCAGAGATTCGGGATTTCTAACACCTAGTATCTGTACTCCAACCCGCATTGCTGGACTTAGTATAGTGATACAAGTGCTGTGGCCAAGGAGATCGACCACATCCTTCTTAGCACTTGCTAGAGGATCCTCCAGAACTGCAGGGTTTATAGGAGTGACGAGTTCTGTGGCACTGACCATAGGTTGGTTGTTGCAACCCTGCAGGTCCACTTCAAATCCATCTCTCCAGTGGCCACTCTAGGGTGTTTCACCTGGACAGATTGAGGGAAGAGAGATTCGCTGCAATAGTCTCTGATCAGTTTACAGTGCTTGAAAACCTGACAGAACCTGTAGTTTTGTGGAATTCCTTTTAGCAAGAAACACTTGATGCAGCGCAGGAGCCCATTGGCGAATACCCGAGACAGAATTTCATCTCGCTGGAAACTTTGGATGCCACAGATGCATTGCATGTATGAATGGCAATCAGGACATGCCATTCCTTGGTGCATAGAGCCTGGACTCTATTGAGAAGGGATAAGGAACAGTACATCAGGAATCTTCCTGACTAGGTCAAAGGCCATTTCACGATAAAAGACCATCCAGCCTAGAAAGCCTGAGAAAAGTGAACTCCAATCCCTCTTCACAGATGACCAGTCCACTCAGTGGATGGACAGATCATCTCAGATCATGTCCGTGAAGGTTAGGCTTAGTATTTTGAGCAACTGTACCAGATAAACCCACCAGCAGTTAGTTTGGATGCAAGCGATGTCACAATCCCTGTGCCAGACCCACCCATCAGTGAGGATCCTCTTACCCTGACTGAGGGCAGGGAGGCGATTTCTAAGCTAAAGGGTGGGAAAGCTGCAGGTGTATGTGATATCCCTGCTGAACTGCTTAAGGCTAGGGGTGATCCTATGGCATGGGACTTGCATACTGTCCTGGTTGCCATTTGGCAGTCTGGTTCTATTTCCCCTGAACTGTTGAGGGGGTATGGTCATCCCTCTCTGGAAGGAGAAAGGGGATCGTTGGGACTATAGTAACTACCGTGGTATCGCATTGCCCAGTATAACAGGCAAAGTTTTCACCCACATTCTTCTGAAACAGATCTGCAAGTTCCTACTAAGGAACCAAAGACCAGAGCAGTCTGGATTCACTCTTGGTAAGTCCACAATAGACTGTATCCTAGCGCTTCAAATCACTGTGGAACACCGTCATGAGTTACTTGCAACCTGCATCGACGTCAAGAAGGTGTCTGACTCGGTGCTTTGCATATCGCTGTGGGAAATCCTGAGAGAGGAATTCCGACAGGGATTATTGGTTTATAACAGCAAGCCTATATAGTGGTACTGAAAGTACTGTAAAGTGTGGTGGACACCTGTCGAGCTTCTTTCTTGTTAACTCGGGAGTGAGGCAAGGCTATGGCTTTACACAAACACTTTTCAACACTTGCATGGACTGGATAATGGGTAGAACTACTATCCAAAGTCACTGTGGAACAACACTGGGCAATATTAGGGTCAGGGACTTCGACAATGCCGACGATGTTGCCTCTGGAATCTAGCGGTGGCTCTTGATGCATTCAGCAAAGAGGCAAAGCCTCTGGGCTTAAAAGTCTCCTGGACCAAGACCAAGATCCAGTATTTTAGGAGTCTGTTAGGAGAACCTGTCCAGTGGATAGAGGCTTGCATTGAAGTCACAGAGAGCTTTACATACCTTGGTAGTGCAGTCCATGCCTCTGGGCTGTCAGACCAGGAAGTCAGTAGAGGGAGCCATGAACTCAGCCAATAAGAGTATTTGGAGGTGTCAGTACCTATGCAGAAGGCCTAAGTTACGTGTCTTCAAGGCCTTGATACTGCCAGTTTTCCTCTATAGAAGCGAAACCTGTATACTATCTAGCGCCTTGGAGTCGCGTCTCGGTAAGTCCCTACGCCGGATCATGGGATACAGTTCGCAGGACCACCATGGGACCTGTTACTTGCATAATCCGTGACCGCCAATTCTTGTTATACGGGCACCTAACTCGTTTCCATGTGGATGACCTCCCCTATCAGGTTGTCTCTCTACAAGGCAATCCTAGGCCCATGGGAAGACCAAATAAATCGTGGCTTGGGCAGCTCGACTAGGCCTGTTGTGAAGCTCTAGAAATGGCCTGAGGACCTACCTGGCTGCTCGCCATGAGGAACCCCCGTTGCAGGAAGCGAAAGGTGGATGCGGCTATGCGCCCTCATCGGCTTTAACTCCTCTGATGATGATGATGATGATGGTGATGATGATGATACTCTTTAAACGTTTTTTCATGACGTAATATTCCACCTTCACTATAATATTAATATGTACCAAATACGCCATAGGATATCCTGTTACCTAGACCGTCACAATGGATAATACCCACATAACCTACACTGATAACGAGTTGAGGTCAATGCCGCTGATTACTATGAAGTCCTGGGCTACTGCCGATTGCGGTTTTGTAAAGTATCAAATACCGGAGTGAGGCCACATTGAATCAGTCCTTAGTCCTACCCATCCTGCCCCCTAATCCGGTGTCTTGGGGTTGTGCCAACATTTGGGCACTTCACTTGTGCTGCAAAATTTTGCGTATAATTTCCCCATCCCCGTTTTCGGAAAACAATTTGATGAGAAATAACTGTATCCGTAATGTGTGCATACCCGTTTTCGGAACATAGATTAGGGATGAAATGCAGTTGATGCCATCACTGGGACTATTTGCGTGCGTGTTTATGTGTGCAAGGATTCATGCTGAACAAGTAGTAAAGAAAACACGATTAAAAAGAAAGCCATTTTACTAAAAGGCCTTCGGCATATTCATGTGCGGATGTGTGCTTGAGGTGGCGCGGTGTGTGTGTGTATGTGCGTGTACGTGTGCGTGTGTGTGTGTGCGTGCATGCGTGCGTGTGTGTGCGTGCGTGCGGGTGTGTGTGTGGGGGGGGGGGGGCGTGCGCGTGTGTGTGTATGTCTGTGTGTGCGTGCGTGCTTGCCTGTGAGCATTAATTAGCATGTTTTGTATGAGTGCATGTGTATATGTAAATGTATGTTTGTGTGTGTGTTTACATAAATGATTTTTTTCCTAATCGTTTTCCTTGGAAGTGGCATACCGTAAGAAGAAGGAGTATATCCTTCCGTATGGTAACTAGTTGCTGAAGGGTATAGAAGCAACCAATCAGGAGGCTCGTATGGATGACATCATACTCTACGGCCAATCAGAGGGTCGAATTCGCAAGGCGTCAGCACACACCCCCAAAACCCCTTGCTTATGAATTACTTGTTTATTTCATTTGCGTTCTCATCAAAATCTGTTTAAATTCTAAAAGTAGTCTTAAGGTCATTATACAAAACGAACTAGTTATAAAGGTTTAAACACAGCGTTATCCATAAATTACCCATAACAAGTTCTTGGCAACCGGATATATGAAAGTTGGCTCCCTCTCAACCTCGCGCGGCAGCAGTCAACCTGCACAACTTGAGCAAGGAAGTTGTAGAGTTAGTGTCCCTTAGCAAGAATCCTCATCATCATGAAGTCTTTCGTTGATGTACCTTCCGACAGCCATTTCCCCATCCAGAATTTGCCCTACGGAATATTCTCAACTGCTGACAACGTAAGTTCACTGTAAAATATTTGATGGTGCAGACAATGTTGGGCAGATGTGTGTGGAAACCA